GAAACTCCATTGTTAGTGAGTATTCAGCATTTTTCTCTGATGAATTCAGGTAATTCTATACGTGCGAGTCCGTATATCAGCTACATCGATCTCATACATCGACTGAATGACGAGATGAGGAGGCGAAGGATGGGACAGAGGCCTCAGCTGTCCAGCACACAAGTGTTTCCTGTTGATAGGTGAAAAATTAGATATAAATATAATGGAGTTTCACGACGCGTTTTACGCGAAAAACGCTATGCAGTAGTCGTGAAATATGTTTTTCACTAGTGTTTTTTTTTCATATCAGTAGGGTGAACAAACTCCATAGTTAGATGATATTGTGATATGCAGATGGTGTTGGAGGAATATATGTGTTGGCTTTCTTCAGCTGAGCTCAGGAATGTGCAGAAACCAATAAGAACTCGCTAAAATTTCCTCTCAGAATTTTCACCAACACATGTAGTTGACCATGTGCATATTCCCCTCTCCCCCACAGAAAAGTTTTTTCTCAGACCTTTCAATTTAGTGGATATACTCCCGAATCAGAACCAGTATATTGGAAGAATTGTGCGGAAGAAGTTCAAGGCTCGTAAAAATAAGAGAAAAATGCAAGGACTCGACGGGTTGCTGTTGCCGCTAGCAGGAGGACTGCTAGCGGGGGCGTTGCTGGGATCTATATTCGATTGAAATAATTATGATTATGTTCGTGAAGTGTAGTAGTGTGATTTTGTAAACTTTCTGTACTGGGATTTTGAGAATTGTAGTAGTTAAGTTACTCTCGTTATGATGACGATGATAATGTTGTTGTGTTTTGTGAATAGGAGTAGTGAAATGAGAAATATGGAGTTGTTGTGATACAGTGTTGTTTCACGACCAACCGTTTTACGACGTGAAGTGGCGTCGTAAAACTCGGTGAAAAACGCGATATTCGCGGTGATATGCAGTAGTCGTGAAATATGTTTTTCACTAGTGTTTTTCATATCACTAGGGTCAAGAAACTTCAATGTTTCGAGAATTTCCGAGAATTTTCTCAGAATTTTCATATTTTATGTGCATATTTCCTTTCCCTACAGTGTTGGATCTCTGGGGGTATTCAGTTTCTATTGTAACTGAATTTCTTCAATTCGAACTGGAAACTACAGTTCGTGTGAATTTAATATGTTTTTCTGAGAATCGATCTAAAACTATATATTGCATATACAATGTAACAATAACTATGAACATGTGTTGTGATGTTGAGTACCCGTTTGGGACTGTGATGATAGCGACAACTTGTTCACTATAAAATGTCCTACAAAATAACACACATTTGCATCGATCAAATTTACACGTACAACCGCGCTTGTTATTTTTATGTGATTTTCGCTGGAGCAACAACTGTTGTGAAGGATCGCTGCATGCAGAGGTGTGCATGCTCGACGTCAAGTGCGATTGGGCGTATGTGTTGGAGGCCTATACTCATCAAAGCGTATTAATAGTTTTAAACTGTAATTGTACTTTCGCCTGGGGGACTTTAGGAATTGTAACTTCGGAAGGAATTGAATTTTGAAAGGAATTGAATTTTACAGTAAGAGGTTACTCAAATAAGGGTATAGAATAAGGCATTGTATTTTCGAAGGCATTACAGTTTACAACTCTTTGCAAAGTCCTTGGGTGGATGAGGTCTCTCTTTTTTGGAGATCTATTTCATATCAATGTTAGCAGCCCATCGTCGATTCGGGCACTTTAATATGACCGCAACCTGCAAGCTGTTGAGGTAACAATTTCGAGAGTAGGGGAAAATGGTTTCACCCGTAATGTTAAAAAGACTGAGGAAAAAACATACTAGTTCGCGCTTGACTCGCATGTGAGCAGTGAAATTAGGTGATTGCTCGTCCAGTGTACTTCATACCGCGTTTTTCACATACAGAATTACGCCACTTTACGAAAATATTCGCGCGGGAAATAACATGATAAAGTAGAGCGAAAATTTTCGCTCATCGGATGTTGATATTGATGTCATTTTTTTCTTTGTTTCAGACCGTCTGTGTGCTTGTGGCAGCCCTGTAGGAGCATGAGCACTAAGACTGTGTCGCCGATACCATTCGCTGTCTTCGGTGGCGAGTCTATGATGATGGTTACTCCACATCTGGTGAGTTACGCTGGTTTGTAGGTTGCCTCGTTGTGGACGATTATTGTGCTTTGAAAAAGGGGAAATTTTTTCCGCTGTGGGTGACTGATCGATTCCTTGAAATATGTAATCGCTTTCCTCAGCTGCTGAGCTCAGGAGTTTCCTATACAGTGTTGGAGTAGGAATATATGTAATCGCTTTCCTCAGCTGCTGAGCTCAGGAGTTTCCTATACAGTGTTGGAGTAGGAATATATGTAATCGCTTTCCTCAGCTGCTGAGCTCAGGAGTTTCCTATACAGTGTTGGAGTAGGAATATATGTAATCGATTTCCTCAGCTGCTGAGCTCAGGAGTTTCCTATACAGTGTTGGAGTAGGAATATATGTAATCGCTTTCCTCAGCTGCTGAGCTCAGGAGTTTCCTATACAGTGTTGGAGTAGGAATATATGTAATCGCTTTCCTCAGCTGCTGAGCTCAGGAGTTTCCTATACAGTGTTGGAGTAGGAATATATGTAATCGCTTTCCTCAGCTGCTGAGCTCAGGAGTTTCCTATACAGTGCTGGAGTAGGAATATATGTAATCGCTTTCCTCAGCTGCTGAGCTCAGGAGTTTCCTATACAGTGTTGGAGTAGGAATATATGTAATCGCTTTCCTCAGCTGCTGAGCTCAGGAGTTTCCTATACAGTGTTGGAGTAGGAATATATGTAATCGCTTTCCTCAGCTGCTGAGCTCAGGAGTTTCCTATACAGTGTTGGAGTAGGAATATATGTAATCGCTTTCCTCAGCTGCTGAGCTCAGGAGTTTCCTATACAGTGTTGGAGTAGGAATATATGTAATCGCTTTCCTCAGCTGCTGAGCTCAGGAGTTTCCTATACAGTGTTGGAGTAGGAATATATGTAATCGCTTTCCTCAGCTGCTGAGCTCAGGAGTTTCCTATACAGTGTTGGAGTAGGAATATATGTAATCGCTTTCCTCAGCTGCTGAGCTCAGGAGTTTCCTATACAGTGCTGGAGTAGGAATATATGTAATCGCTTTCCTCAGCTGCTGAGCTCAGGAGTTTCCTATACAGTGTTGGAGTAGGAATATATGTAATCGCTTTCCTCAGCTGCTGAGCTCAGGAGTTTCCTATACAGTGTTGGAGTAGGAATATATGTAATCGCTTTCCTCAGCTGCTGAGCTCAGGAGTTTCCTATACAGTGTTGGAGTAGGAATATATGTAATCGCTTTCCTCAGCTGCTGAGCTCAGGAGTTTCCTATACAGTGCTGGAGTAGGAATATATGTAATCGCTTTCCTCAGCTGCTGAGCTCAGGAGTTTCCTATACAGTGTTGGAGTAGGAATATATGTAATCGCTTTCCTCAGCTGCTGAGCTCAGGAGTTTCCTATACAGTGTTGGAGTAGGAATATATGTAATCGCTTTCCTCAGCTGCTGAGCTCAGGAGTTTCCTATACAGTGTTGGAGTAGGAATATATGTAATCGCTTTCCTCAGCTGCTGAGCTCAGGAGCTTCCTATACAGTGTTGGAGTAGGAATATATGTAATCGCTTTCCTCAGCTGCTGAGCTCAGGAGTTTCCTATACAGTGTTGGAGTAGGAATATATGTAATCGCTTTCCTCACCAGCTGCTGAGCTCAGGAGTTTCCTATACAGTGTTGGAGTAGGAATATATGTAATCGCTTTCCTCAGCTACTGAGCTCAGGAGTTTCCTATACAGTGTTGGAGTAGGAATATATGTAATCGCTTTCCTCAGCTGCTGAGCTCAGGAGTTTCCTATACAGTGTTGAAGTAGGAATATATGTAATCGCTTTCCTCAACTGCTGAGCTCAGGAGTTTCCTATACAGTGTTGGAGTAGGAATATATGTAATCGCTTTCCTCAGCTGCTGAGCTCAGGAGTTTCCTATACAGTGTTGGAGTAGGAATATGTGTAATCGCTTTCCTCAGCTGCTGAGCTCAGGAGTTTCCTATACAGTGTTGGAGTAGGAATATGTGTAATCGCTTTCCTCAGCTGCTGAGCTCAGGAGTTTCCTCACTTGCATAGAAATTCGGGTAGAAGTGTCCAGGAATCATCAAGGATTGCCTATAATTTCCAATCTGTAGTTGACCATGTGCATATATTCCCGCAAGGCTTGTGGATAAAATTTTCAGGCTGAAGTCGTGAATAATGGAGTTGATATGCAAGTGGTGAAACCTGGCAATGTGACATTCTACTTTATGAAAAAAACCACCGCTGAAGCGAAGACTTCACCCGATGCCAAACGTAAGTTTCTGAGTAGACTGTACGTGATCGTTGAGATAGGCTTCGACAAGAACTCCCTGGTTGGCCAGACTCTTCGTGCGGGGGACATTGGCGAACTCATTGGGTCTTCATGTGAGGAGGTGAAGATTAATGACAAGTGGAATTCTGAAGTGAGATAGCCGCATTGTTGTTGTTGTGGAAGAGAATCGCCTCAGAACTGTCTGGCCGTGGAGAAGGGTGTTAGCGAGGTGCATCATCACGAAGTCCGACGATTCACTATTCAAAAAGTGAGGAAGGTGTGGTATCAATTGTGGAGTTTCACCCGTGATGTGAAAAACACATTTCACATTTTGCTTGGCGAATTACCAGTGAGAATATATGTACATGGTCACCTACATGTGTTGGTGACAATATGAGAGTTCTGAGGAAATTCTCGTTGGTTTCTGCACGGACTCTATAGGAATTGAGAAAATTCCTGAGCTCGCTGAGGAAAGCGAACAAATACTACCACACATGGCGAATTACTAGTGAGAAGAACATTGGTAACTCATCTTCATTCATTGACTTTAATTAACGGGTAATCGTGAAACTCCAGTGTGTCTGAATTTGATATCCAAATGTGACAAATATGTGTTATTCCCATTTCACATTTCCCAAAACACATTTCACATTTCACTGGCGAATTACTAGTGAGAATATATTCATTGACTTTAATTAACCCACCTCTTAAATGGCTCAGGACGGCTCGAGTCAGAGTGTGTCGTGCACGATGCAAGAAATGGCGGCTCTACAGAAGATGCTCGAGGTGAGTTGGCTCGTTAATCAGTGGAGTTTTACCCTAGTGATATGAAAAACACTAGTGGAAAAGATATTTCACGACTACCGCATATCACCGCGAATATCGGGTTTCTTACGGGGTAATGCGGCGTTTCACGTAAAACGGGTAATCGTGAAACTCCAGTGTGTATGAATTTGGTATTCAAATATGTGTTATTCTCATAGGTCAATAAAAATTGATACGAGACTATATCGCATAAACAATGTAAACACTGATATGAACATGTGATGTGATTATGGTAACTTTTCGAGACTATGATAGCGACAAGTTGTTCACTATCATTAATCCCGGAATAGAAAAGGCACATTCTTCACATTTGCATAATATCAAATTGACACGCACTGTAAGCAATTTCATCATGGTGATTCCTCTCAGCTGACGATACCAAGTCTTTATGGCTGGAACTTGTTGCTGGACGACGCCTGAGGCCCCCACATGTTCGATTTCATGACGGCTTTGAGCTGTGGTTATTACGTTTCAGGTACACCTAATCAGCTCATGCAAGTGTTATCTTGATTATCGAGGACTTAGAAAGTAACTTTTCATGAAACACGGATTGTGTTATGAAGTGAAGGGGGGCCGATCGAACACGTCAAAAGTTTCCTATGAGAATTGCAAAGAAAACTAAACGAAGAAACAAGACTGGTATTATTTGTAACGACACGATTGGCAGTCACATTCACCGTGGAGAAATGGATATATAAACGAATGAACGTATATAAATGTCAGTGAATTGTTCGCTATTGTTCATCTACCAGTATAGTCGTTTCCATTTAAATAAGTCATCTCGTTGTCTTAAATCGCTAGTACTTATATAATTACCATGCCCAAGGGTAGGACCTCGCAAGAATAGAAAGAATCCAGACAAAACCAGTTTGGGTTGCGGAAGAAAACATCCGGCGTAAAATCAATCGTTTTTGAGGCGTTTGGGCTTTACACGTGTCACTTTTCCTTTTCTATCAATAGAGCCTTTCTACCGAGCTAGTTATACGATCTGATGAATTGCAGACAGATATCAACACTAGAAAGGCATTCCTCGACAACCAACGGACAGGGAAAACCCAAGGCCTTAGTTGAGTTCAATAATCAAACTCACATAACTTCGATAAGACGAAAATATATCCCAATACTTGGAACGCAACATTTAGTTTAATTCTTCGTGCTTGATATCAAGTCACGATCATCTCTACAGTGAAAGGAATCAATTCCTATACTGCAAAACAATAAAAGCCTTACGCAAGCGACTTATACGACTAATATGATTACGTTGCGCACCAACGCCAGTAGTTCACAGGGAACAGGAATAACAATAACACCTCATCTCGTTGCCACATCACTAATCGTGCTAATAAAATAATACGCACTGATCTCAGCCAGCATCAGTGCTCGTGACAGAGATGCTGAACACTCAGTCGTGATCAAATAAGAAACGAGCGAAGTGCATTGTAGTGCCCAATAGCTCGATCAACTTTCGAAAAATTAACTACCATCATTAGACCTAGCGTAGAGACAATGAAAAGTGATACTATGAAATGATAATAATGCCAATAATACAAATACAGTAAGTCTATTGTTAGTAGTAGTATTATAGTAGTAATATCGCGGCGAGCGAACAACACCGAGTCAAATCGCTGGTAAGGCCTACGACAGCGACAACAACGAACTACAATACTAACCTTATAATGTCTATAAGAGCTTAGAAATGAGTGTACTACTCTACCTGCATCGACGAAAGCCTTCTTAGAGTGCCTTGAATGATAACAGGGAAAAACTATATATTTGTGGGGAAGATCATTAGAGTGTTTTACAGAAAAAAAATCTAAACCTTATCATGTTTCTCAGTAGCGGCAGCATACATAACACCCAGCTGTTCGATATACTGCAAGTCCTGGTAGTAGTCAGACATAGCATCATCAGCGCCCTTAATGTCAGGGCAATCTGGTTCAATGTGGAACAACTCAGCTTTACTGTGGGCGTAGCCACAATTAGGGCGACGACAATTTCTCCCACGGTCGCAGAGTTTGGTCTTACACAAGTTCGGCGGCCTCACTCTGAGTTCGTCCACAGTGTGAGCAAATGCACACTTATCACCAAAAGCACAATAGCCTCTGGCAAAGTGTCTGCAGGCTTTAGTTTTGACCAAATACACCGGGGGGGAGGGAGCCTCGGGGTTAACGAAACTGTTCATAAAGTCGCTACTTCCTCTTTTGAGACACTTGTCAAGATGTATAGTAGGAACACTGGAAGGTCTGAATCGGCTACCATATTTGGGGCTCGAATCGCTGTAGGCGACCGACCAAGTAGAGGACCTCGAAATCTGCCTGCTCGATAGGGGAGTTTCGGACGAAAAACATATAGGGGTATTCACCACGTAGTTAGTGCTTGTAATCGAGGAAGGTGTATTAATGCTGCTCAGTGGAGTGGTGCTTCGACTTATGGGATCAGTCATAATCGGCGCCGGTCTAGCAGCAGAAAACTTTTGACCTTTTGGGGGAGTCGGAAGGATCCCGTCAGCTTCGGAAAGCGGATAGGAGTCGCCGACTGAGACATCAGTGAAGGGCATGTAAATTGGAGGGGTGCGGGGTAAATCAACTGTAAAAAACTTCAGTCTGGGGGGATAAACACATGGTCAACTACATGTGTGGAAATTTTGGGAAATTCTTATTGGTTTCTGTACATTTCTACACGAATTTGCGTATAAACTCCTATAATCAGTGGAGGAACTTCTGAGGAAAACGAACATATGTTCAAACACTGATCAAGTGTTTCAGATCACCTCACTTCGAACTCGAAAGTACTTGTCATATAACACAATAAGAAACCTTTCAGTGGTAAGAAATAGCTTAACTAGCCTGTATGAACTGATCGAGCTGGAAACGGTCAAGACTGATGAACTATAGCAGGACACAGTGAACACAACGGCCTAGCTCTGCCGTACCTGTTTTGAATCTTATCGTAAGCAACCTAAGATGTGCTATAGTGCGTTATATTGAATCTGTTTCCTCCATCTCGTACTCTCAACTACACGCTAGGTTATCGAGCGACGCGGTGTCACCAGCCGAGGTGAGTTGCGTAGAAAGAGCTTAGGGAATGTCAAGAAAACCCGAGTAGGCAAGATAGGATCAGTAGTTATACAAGGGCACGTCCAGACCCTGTCACTAAACTTTGTGTCCTAAATCACTAAATCTCAGCGCGCGCCCTTATAAACGATATAAAGCGCGACTTCGTTTCAACGGCGTTAGAGACCGCATCGTTTCAGTACAGAGGTCGTCATTGACGACTCGTCAAAGCCAACCCAACGTGGCCACAAAAGTTCTTACAAGCCACAATTGTTCTTTGCGCAGCCACAATTTCTGGTGACTTCACTTGTCCCTTCCTCTAGGCCGGGCCTAGAGGCCCGGTAGGCCCTAGTAGGCCCCCTAACCGCTCGAGTAATATAACGCTCTGACTGAATCTATCAGTAAATATCTAGACTGTCAGTAACATCAGCAACAGAATAGCTCAACCCAAAATCGAGCATTACGCGACCGAAATTGACGATCGGGCACTGCTACTTGGGAATCAACTCGATGAAAAAACACCTACGCGAGAGGACGGATCACAAGGGAAAGTTTCCCTGGGAAACAGTCATCATCTTGATGGCCGTTTCCTTTGATGACTGTTATCCAAGTGACGACTGTCATCCAAGGACGATCATCTGATCAGACGGAGCGGCAAGCTAATCCGAGTCGTTCAAGAAATGCCCAAGCCCGAATTGAACCCGGACCTAGTCCATCAGTTGCCTATAGAAACCCGAATACAACCTCTCGGGTCCCGAGACTCGGGAACCATAGTCCAGTATCACCCGAGGCACCTAGCACCCCGCCTAGGGGTGCTAGGTGCTATCATCCGAAGGACACCCTCAGGACATGCCCAAGCACGGAATGATCCCGGAACTCACCCTCCGGCCCCGCTAGGGCGGCCACCGGCAAACACGGAAAACGCAGTTTGTGGCTCGGAAAGTGAAAAAGTGGCCGCCGGAGAAAAATCGTGGCCAAGGAGAGAAAATTTAGGCCGCGCACGAAGATGACGCCGACTTTCCCTGTTCAAGAAATGCATAGACTACAGGCTACTCACAGATTACTACAAGGTTTAGAGCCGAAGAAACCCGTCAAGCAGTACTTGTGTACCTATAAGCAGTACCTATAAAGCAGCACCTATAAAGGGAGTTATGACGGGAGAAGCAGAGATTGACACCTTCGATGAACGGTGCTCTATTAGTCGAAGATTTATATGCGTTAAAGTACCAGAGCACGCGCGCACCTGGCGAGATATGACGTGTCGTTGCGTGGGGTTTCTGCGAGAGAAAGCATGCCCACATGTTCTAGGAGTGACATATAGATTAAGCAAGCTTGATGAGGGAGATCGTGATAGATGTCCTATTTCTTCGAAGCAGCGCTCCAAAGTCCTTGAGGAGGTTGGCTAGTGATACGGAACGAACAAACAGTAGATTGTTCTTTGAGTCTCGCGTTGAGGAAAGTGTAGTGAGGGAAGTTTTATCTAAGTTTAAGTGAAGTTGCACAATGCTACAGTGGTGTTGAGTTGTGTATAAAAGTTAATAACAGGAACGTAACGAGGGGAGTCAACAGGGAAGTAGGTGCAACCAAAATCCGTAGGGAAACAAGTGAATCAAAAACCTAAAGGAAAACAAGTGAACCAAAAACCCGAAGGGGAACAGGTGAACCAGAAAGCCGAAGGGAAAGGAAAGAACCAAAAATCTAAAGGGAAACAAGTGAACCAAAAACCCGGAGGGGAACAAGTGAAGCAGAAACCCGAAGGGAAACGGATGAACCAAAAACCCCAAGGGAAGCAAGTTAACGAAGAGGGTTCAGCGGGCCAGGTGGATTCGTCTCAAGTCCATGTCTCATTGGGCAAACTCGACTCTCG